GGTCAGAGATGTGAAGAGGGGTAGCACTGATGTCTGTAGTGGGAAAGGGGCGACAGAAGACAAGGTCCAGTGCATTACCTCCTTTGTGTGTAGGAGGACAGCTGTTGAAAGTTAAGGAAAAGGAATGCAGAAGAGGGAGAAGGCAAGAGGACTGGAGTTTGTCAGTAGGGAGGTTGAAGTCTCCAAGGACAGTAAGAGGAATCTATATTCATTACATTACACAAGTTTTAACCCAAAGTTTAAATCACGTTTTAACTCCTTATAAAGCCATGACAGTCAAATTTTATCAGACCAGGAATATTCTTATTGTCTACATTGTTTTCATTGTCCACACAAGGGCAGAATCCAGATTCATTATAGCACACAAGTTTAAACTAAAATTCTACACCACATTTTAATTCTCATGACCATAGAAAAAGATTAACATGTAAGTTTTAAGATGTCCCTGGATTATCAAAATGAGATTAAGGTTTCAGGGGAGCCATAAAACACCAAAACCTGTGCGTTTGTATAAATAGACACTGGGGTTTGACAACAGGAGACTGGACGAGGGACCAAGGGAGAACATTTTTATATTTTTTGGATTTTAGATGATAGTGAATGACACAAATTGAGACTGATAAAAATAAGCTTGAACACAACACACTAAATAGGAGGATGAATCAAGCACTTACCTTTAATAGAGTGGAAGATAATCAAGCACGTACTTTTTGAATGTAATAGCACTAAGAGTGAAAACAGCACTTACCTTCAAGCACTTTGACTACAAATACCTAGTCCTTTCTTCTTGGTTGAACCTATTGAACAGAACCATAGCACTTATACAGTCATTTGAATACGAATTTATAGAGGTCCCTAATCACCTAACCCAACATCTAGACCCTGTCCCCTACCCTAACCATACCCAAAACCTAACCTCTAACCCAAAAAAGGAATTGTCCTAACCCCTACCCCAAACCCCTTACCCTAACCGGACCCAAAACATAACCCCTTAGTTTAACCCCTAACCCAAACCCCAACTCCTAACCCTATCCTAAACCCCTGATCCTACCCAAACCCACCTAACTCCTTACCTTAACATTCAACCTGAATTCTTAGCCCAAACTCCAACTCCTAACCCCTATCCCTATCCTAAACTCTAACCCTATGCAAATCCTAACCCCTACTCTAAACCCTTTACCCTAATCTTAACCACTCACCCTAATCTGACTTCCTACCCAAACCCCAACTCCCAACCCCTATCCTAAACTCCAGACTTTAATCCTAACCACTTACCCTAACCCGGGACCCAACCTCTAACCCTAAAACCTTGGACACAATACCTAATCTCTGATTCCACTTTTAGCTCTAACCATTGATCCTTGATCTGGACCTACATTTATGGACAAATGGCCCCCAATTTAGACCATAGGAAGAAAAAATTAACATAATGAAATGAAAAGAATAAAATGAAACTTTACCCAAACTTACTCATCATACTGTATCATCCCTTTCAAAAGAAAAATATTTTTTCAAAATAAAATAAATAAATAAATAAATTTGGTGTTCCTGATTTTCTGTTTTATTCCTTTCCCCAGAAGGAAAAAAACAAGTTTTAAGTGAAAGTGAAGTGACGTGTAGCCAAGTATGGTGACCCATACTCTGAATTTGTGCTCTGCATTTAACCCATCCAAGTGCACACACATAGTAGTGAACACACACACACACCGTGAACACACACCCGGAGCAGTGGACAGCCTTTTTTGCTGTGGCGCCCGGGGAGCAGTTGGGGGTTTGGTGCCTTGCTCAAGGGTCACTATTCGAGGTACCACCAAATAGCCTGCACCTTTTGATTTAAGTAGGTGTGGCAGACCCATAAAAGACCAAAAGTTCACTCAGGTATTGTGGCGCGAGACCATTTAGTGCTTTATAGGTCAATAGTAGTATTTTATAATCAATACGAAATTTGATTGGGAGCCAATGCAGTGTGAATAAGATAGTGTCTTAGTGTCTTAAGTCTGAGAAGTGTGTTATGTTCTGTTCGTGTGTTATGTGTTCTTTTTGAACAGGGGCTTTAAGGAGTGGGTGTTTTTCTGAAGAACGAGTCTGCGCACTCGTGGGTGGGTGAAGTTTTTTTGTGGAAAAAGTTCGAGAATTGTTTTCAGTTATTATTTTCCGGAGCCCAAGGTTTTCACGAGCGCTCACGTTATTCGTGAGTCTTTTGACTTATTTTGATCGCTACACTGGTGTCAGAAGTGAACTAATCCAGTTGGTCTACGGGATTGCTGACATTATCTTCCCTGCAGCACGATGCGGAAAGAGACTCGAGAAAAAATTAAATCTGAGCCGGACACGAGCCGAATGTTTCGGGAGGCCCTGGGCGCTTTGGCGCGGGTTTCCGATCGATTTGCAACAGATGAAGGCTGTCTGGAATTACACAAAGCTCGTGTGAAGGAAGCTACGAGGAGGATGGCGCCAGGCTTTCACTGCCAGATCCAAGTGTCACCGAGAGCCACTGAAGTTTCGCGAGGACAACCAACAAACATGGCAGCGCCCACGGAACTGCGCTGTCTTCGGATGCGAATGGACATAGCGGCGCACACAGAATCGCACTGTCTTCAGATGTAAACAAACATGGCGACGCCCATGGAGCCGCTCTGTTGACAGATGTGAATGAATATGGTGGCGTCCGTGCTGCCGCGGGGACTGTTAAAACCCACAAATTCTCAGGTAAAGCTGATTGGGAAGCTTTTCATGCACAGTTTGAACTGTTGGCTCGTGCTGGGAACTGGTCGGAGGACCACAAAGCTCTTGAATTGGCTATGTGCTTTACAGATGATGCTCTGAACTGTTTGTTACTGCTTAACCCTGAAGATAGACATGATTATAAGGCACTTGTCGGGGCACTGAGATGACATTTAGGTCAATTTGAACAGCCAGGGCTCCTGCGTTCCGAACTGAGTAATAGATGCAGGCAGCCAGGAGAGCAGCTGAGAGCCCTGGCAAATGACATTGAAAATTTGACTTGGCGAGCATATGCCCACATGCCACCATCTGTTCAAGGGGAGCTTGCGAGAGACCAATTCATCCAGGCTTTTACTCCTGTGGAGCTTCGAAGGCAGACACAGCTTGCCCACCCTCAATCCTTGCAGGATGCCTTGAAGATGGCGTTGGAGAGGGAGATTGTATGTGGAACTTACTTGCAGGACGAGAGACGACGAGATACGGTGCCGGTCAGGTCTGCTGATGTGGGGGAGGAGCTAACTGAAAGACCTAGCCTGGGTTTCGGAGATTACTGAATTGATTCGTGCTATGGCACTGCAACCTGACCAGCGACTTTGTGCTCGACCAAGGGTTTGTTGGGGTTGTCCTAAGCTGGCCGGGAACCAGGGAAATGGGATGGGGTCTGCATGATTGGGGATGTGCGGACCCACAACACTCATCCCCACCATGAATCATTGTCAAGTCTCAAGAGATGGACTAAGGGAAGGCGATCATGAACTGTTGGGGGACGGAGATTGGGCGCCAAATGAGTCTGTGGTCGTGGTGGGACGAACATGTGTTAGTGATTTTTGTCATGTACCTATTTTGGCGGAGGGGGCTCCATGTTTAGCATTGGTGGATACGGGATCAACTGTGACAGTGATAAGACCAGATGTAGTTCCAGCGAATGCCAAGCTGGAACCCACCACTCTCCGACTATGCACATTGACGGGTGAACTAGCGCCAATGAAGGGTAAAGGACAAGTGGGGCTGACTGTAGGGGGAAAGATATTGCGCCATTCGGTGTGGGTGGCTACAGTCCAGGACCCCTGTATTCAATTCAATTCAATTCAGTTTATTTGTATAGCGCTTTTTACAGTGTCATTGTCTCAAAGCAGCTTTACACAAACAAAAAAGTAAGATGAAGTGTGAGAGTGTGTCTGAAGAGCAAGCCGAGGCGACGGTGGCAAGGAAAAACTCCCTGAGATGGAGATAGGAAGAAACCTTGAGAGGAACCAGACTCAACAGAGAA